CCTATCATTGAGAAAATCAACGTTTTATACACACGTGTTGATGAGGGGTATTGGGAGAGGGGCGAGACAGAAAACCAGGGAACGCTTACATTCGAGCATTTGAAGAAATTGCGGGGGAAAAAACGACAGCAGCGCCTCTCGACGACTTGAGAAAAGGACGAAGTAAATGCTGGGCGATGAGAGGAGAGTGGGACGGACCTCCCATTTGCGTCTTCAACGAGTCTAACTACCTAAGGTAGATGGAATACATTCGATCCACCTTGCAGCTCTCAGCCCTGTCGACGCTGCCGGGTTCCCCACTCTCTCTCTTCTTTTCTAGAAATTCTCAGTTACGAAAGCTGGATGGAACGGAATGGAAAAGACGACGTATTTATTGAGGCTTCTTCACGTAGCCGTATGACATGAACATCCACTTTCCATAGTCGTGGAGCCATCTCTACGGCAACATCTACAATCGACAGCGCAAAGTCATTCCAGACAAAAATGATCTTGCAGTGAACATCTTTAAACGATCCGAAGCATTCAGGGACAAAAATTCATTTCCATTTCTTCCTGCCCCACTTGACCCCAGGATCAGGTCCTTTCCCCGTGCATCTCCGCATGTCCCACGCCAATAAATAACATGTTCCTCCTTCTCCTCTTCGCAGAAGGGACAGATGCGCCTCGAGCCTTCTCCGAAGTCCCGAAGGGAACTGGAGGCTCTGTTTGATGACGTCACACACTGACCCTAGGCTGAGTGCTGCGCATGCGCATCAAGTTTGCGAGTCGGGAAAGCTGACGGTTTCTCATGCCTTTAAGGAGTATGTCAATATTTAAAATTCTCAATACTGTAGAGATTCTGCTCTTAGAGAGAATTTTCCTTTAATTGTACCTAGCCTGGGTCTTTTCCATGCCTATTCTCAAATTTGCGTGGCGATCAGCTTCCTTTCTAATCGGTTATCAAAAATATGAGACCACATACATAGACAGGACGTGAATATAAGTGGTTTATTTTCTTTCATGAAAGAATTCGCTAAAAAAAAAAGCGATGACAAGAGTCTCATCGATGCTATGGTGACACGATACGATAGAGGTGATTCAATACGATGGAAGTGACACGATGTAATTAAGGTGAAGTCGATGAGATAAACGTTCCCCTGTTTGCCTCGCTGTCATGAATCAGCACTTTCAGCAGAATCTCCACCTCTAAACTTTGATACTGCTAAGCGACCGGAATCCCGAAGGTGAGGAAAGTTCCATTCATGTGAACTGCAGAAGGCGTCTAGATGCAGCATCTTGACATCAATGATGTGCATTTCCAACCAGTCATTTTTGACGTTGTCATTCTCTCCACAAAATATTCTTTCCTCAGATGGCTGTCGACCGTAGAAACCTCAGCTCTCTTCCATGATTGTGCCTATGCAATCGCCACCGGGGCGGAGGGGGAATACGGCATGCTAATATGGAAATATAACAGTAGCGCAGCACAACCCCTCGTCTCATCGGCTGGAGCAGCAATGCATCGCGTACCGGCGCCATGGCATTTCGATACCGACCCGAATGCATCACCGCGGAGCCGCTCCCAACATCCGACGAGACCGAACAATTGCATCGTTCGAGCTGGCATGCGCTGCTTCCAAGCGCTTGGGATCCATTCAACGTCGCATCGAATCGGGCCGGCGGGGAATCGCGACGTCATGGAACGATCCGTTGCGTGATGAGTGGCCTCGAGGGAGGCCACTCCGACCTTCGTGGCATTCCTTCCTTTTTTGCTTCCGTTTCCCAAGAGGAGGGAGGGACTGAAATGGCAGGGCTGTGTGGTGCACGAGAGCAGTATCGGTACCTTTTTCATTTTTTTCGGGCCTTCCTCAGACAATTTTTTGAAGCGGTCGGTGAGAATTCCATCGACGACTCGGCCGTATCGCGACTTCCTTCCGGCCTCAAGCGGAACTGTCCCGTCTCAACGTCGAAACGATGGTTAAGCATTTATTGAATGTATAATCGTTCCGTGCCTTGGATTGGTGCTGAATTTAAATTTACTGCTTATAGCAATTGTAACCATTGCAATTGTAACCATTTCAGTGCAGCCGATTTAAATTTTTGGAGACCGCGAATAACTTGCGCCAGGCAGTTACGACTAGAAACCTCATGCTGTAAATGCACAGACCAGCAACTGCTGCTACATTATCTAATCGTTTTTCGAATAATAATAATAATAATAATAAATCCTAAAGCCTCGTATCACTAAAATATCCCGGTGGGCTAGTTTCTCAAAAAATCTCTGGAGTCATTGGATCTTACATTTTGGATCTTGGAGGCAACGGTCGCATTCCCTAGATTTGTGCTATGCACAAATCCAGGTATCGTCAGGCATCGTCACCTTTCACACCTCATTTTGAATGAATTTCCTCTTCACTTCACCTGTCCTTTCGGCGTCTCTCGCCAGACGCATTTCGAAGGCTACGGCTACCCAATACACTCTCTTTTACGAAGTCAGGGTCATCTTCCTCCGAAGACCCCTGTAGCACTTCATTTTTTTTTTTACCTCGCCCAAACGCATCCTAGTTTGGCAGGGGAAGACCCGAGCCGTTGGGACGGTTGGTCGCGGTTATCTTGATGCGAGCCGACCCGGCGAGGGTTTGCAAGTAGGGCAGGAAACGATAAGAAGCTGATAAGACCGGCGAGGGCGAAGAGGGGGTGTCATAATTAGCTGCAACGTGTGGGGAGTCGATCCGTTAAATTGCCACATTGATCATCAGAAGTCGACTTCGATTGGAACCAAAAACAGGAAGGTGTCACGTGACCAAAAATGCGCTCCGGAAGACTTTGTTGTCGACAAATGAGCCCTAATGGAGACTTGAAGAGGCAAACCGCTCAACAAGACTCCATCAGATCCATGCTGTCTTAAATGCTATTCCACCGGGCAGATGAAATAAGCCATCATTTGTAAGGACTCTCCAGCGTGCCCTCCATAAGCGCCGGTTCTTCGGGAAGGCGGCCATGCGGTAACTGCCGCCAGCCCCACAAACACATGGCCTCGGTCGGCGCGTGGGTAAGGAGCCTCCCGGGAGGGGAACCAGCAGTCTCGAAAACTCTGGGACGAGAAACGCTTCACCTTCTTTCGAAAGTGAGGGTCGCGAGTCGGTTTGGATGCGCCTTTTACGAGGAATACGATGCAATGCGTTGTATTTGCAGAGGATAGCGGCGAGTATAAATATGTGGGCCGCTTTTTGCCCTGCCGATGTCGGGCCTATTTGTGAAGAGCCCACACGTCTGTTTGTCAGTAGATATCTGGATATCAAGGCAAAGCATATTCCAAGGGCTAAGTTGGAGCTTTTTCAGCCAGCACTCAAATGCGTACTTCGGCAGGGTAACGGCCCCCTGCCATGCTTGCACGAAATACCGGTGCACGACTAGCTCACTATGGTATGAACCCACTGTCGTGGCCTGCACAGAGCCCGAACCTTAGTTCGATCCACCTCGACCGAACACCTGAGGGGCCATCTAGAGCAGCGGTGCGCAAACTTTTCAGGCCGCGCCCCCCCCCCCCCCCCCCCGAGGGGGGTTCCGGTTCCGTTTCATCAGAAACTGTAATTTTGGGTAAGTAGGCATGAAGAAACACGAATATATGGTTTTTGTAGTATAACGTTAACTTTATTTAAACCACTGATATTGAGAATGCAATACCCCAAAATACAGTGTTCCATTTAAAACGCAACCCACAACAATCACGCACTACGGTACAAAAACGAAGTCTTGTCTTCGAGAAGGTGGTGGACACTTTCAGCATCTGCTGTGTAGCTGTTCAGTACGTTCCTGTTCCTTCCTAACAAATAAAAACTATCAAACAACTCGTCTGTCTTGTTTTAATGCTGTTGCGCTTTGGATTGCATTTTAAATGGAACACCCTGTACCTCTCCCTGCTCGGACGGTCTGTTTTGTACTGTATTCGTCTCAGTCCTGAGACATTTCTCCATAAAAAATTTTGCCAATACATCGCTATGGTCGAAAAAAATATCGATGCTCTCATCTATCGATGCATCGACCTATCGTGAGGGCCTTAATTTATAGTTATTAGTAAAAGTATTGACCTGCACACTTGCTCTAAAGTATTTTTCGAAGTTTCATAATAATTTAATACCTTAATAATTAGCCATAGCGGGTAGGAATCAAGCATATTGTATTAAAAATTAAATCCTCGCATAACATGAAGTTGATCTTTTGCACATAAAGTTGCCATTTAAAAAATATATTTGAATATTTGGATTTGAATTGATATAATTTTAAATGATGTGATTTTTCTTGGAATTTCCCAGATTTGAAGCGTTTTACTTCACTTTTTTCCCCCTTCCTACGAAGGCCAGTCAAAAAGTCAAGAGAACTTTTCCTTAAGGACCATCCCGATTCCTGTTGAAACCAAGCACGGTTCATCGTTCATTCTTTTCAGTCACGCACGAAAACGCCGTATTATTATTATTATTTTTTTTTTTTTTTTTGGGGGGGGGGGGGGGGGGGGGGGGACCTCGGTCGGCAACTAGGCAAGGTAATAGCATAGACGGGTGATAGCGCCGTGAAGAGTATACAAGGACTTCGCCTGGTTGCAAGCGGTCGCACATGGCGACTCTCTCGGAGCATCGCATCGTTACAGAGCAAGGAGGTGTGATGAGACTCCTGTTGCCTGAAAGCGTAACACTCAATGAAATTCAACGGCGAATGTCATGGCGAAGAACTTCCGTCCCTCTCTTGTATTTCATTTTAAATCCTAAAACTCCCTCATTCCCCCTCAAAAGGGCGACGTTAAGGTCGACCATCGCACTCCCAAATTTCCCCACCGCTGATTTAGAGCACCAAATTCGAAAGCATGTACCACAGCCATCTCGTCTTCATCAGCTTCAAGGGCTTGTGATGACGGAATGGAGGAAGATCCCCCCCCCCCCCCCCCCCCCCCCCCCCCCCCACACCCCCCCCCCCAGGGGGAAGCCCCCCCCCCCCCCCCCCCCATCACTGTCAAAACTACGACTCTCCATGCAGAATGGTGTCCGGTTACTTTTGGCAGGGAAGCGCACTTATTAGCGCTTATTTGCCACGTCGTGAAAGGACTAGAAAACACACAAAAAATTTTGAAATCATGTTGAGGATTCCTGATATAATTCAGTGCGTGACTGATGCGATAACCCGGGGAACTGGAGTTGGGATGGATGTCGAGCAAACCACCTCACGATCGATTGGGATGGATGTCGAGCAAACCACCTCACGATCGATTGGGATGGATGTCGAGCAAATCACCTCACAGTCAATTGGGCTGAATGTCGAGCAAACCACCTCACAATCAATTGGGATGGATGTTGAGCAAACCACCTCACAATCAGTCACAATCAATTGGGATGGATGTTGAGCAAACCACCTTCTCACAAGTTGCCTTGAGCGATGAGGAGCTGCTTCTGATACCTCACCATCTCCTTCATGGACGAGGACATTTCCGTCATGGACGACGCGAGCTCCATCATGGACGCGGATATGCTTTTCAGTTCCCGCAGCATCGCTTGCTGCATCTCGAGCATCGATGTCGAATCGGTACTTTCCTGGGGTACTTCGGTACTTCTCCCGCCCTTCCCGACCTTGGGCGGCACGCAGGAGTCGGTCGACGAGGACGGCCTCTTCATCGACGCCCGTGTCCTGGTATTCCTCGAATAGGCAGGAAGGGAATCTTCGAACGACGACATCAATTGGTCTGAGTTTTCCTCGGGCTTCAATTTCAGCCTCCCTGTTGGAAACAGACCATCGAGAAATATTACTCGAGTTTCAAACCGCATCCAATCGCGTGCGTTCCTGGCGAATACAACGTATTTCGCAACGCTCAATGCGGGTTGGGAGAGATCAAAGGAAAAATTTGACTTGTCACGCCGCTCTGGGACAAAAGGGAAAACGTGATCTATGTGGGGAGAGAAGTCGAGGGCATCAGTGGTGGAAACTGTCCTAGGTCCAAACGAGAAATACACACTATGAGAATCGGGCAGGGTGGTGACATCTAACTACCAAAACTTCCTTCTCTTCCCCCCGTAATTAAGGGGGTCATAGATCTGCCCTTTTGTTCCAGGGAGGGAGATTTGATCGACGCTTCCATCTTCTCACCTTCATTAACCTCTGCTCAGGTGGGTGCTGCATACATCCGACAACCCGCGAATTCGGAGAATCGCACATCATACTAGTCGACATGAATAATGTATGACAAGCGTAATGCTTTTTGTGAGGCCTACGGATGCACTCACCCGGAGGAGGACTCGAAGCAGGTGACGGCTGTTGGCGATGAGATCCTGAATCCTCGAGGACGTCGCTTATCGATGGAGCGGTGCCGGGTTCTTCGACCATGGCGAGGATTCTGGAGTCGGTTTCCGAGGGTGGACGGATCGAGGCTCGTCTGTCGCGGTTTCTGATGCTTTCCAGATAGGCGGTTTCCCGTTGTTTCGCTTCCTGTTTCAGTTGGATGAATTCGTATTTCACTTCGTCGCCCGACCTGAGGATTCTCGTCTTCGAGAACAAGACGTTGGCTATGTCGTTCCATGCCTTCGTCTTCGCGGCTTGAGTGCTGGTCTTGCCCGGTCCCAGCAGCACTTTCTTGCGTAGTTCCACTTCATCCAAGAGCAGCTGAACATCATCGGGATTGAACCTGGAGCGCGAAGACACCGGGAACATGGGCGACGAGGAATCCATGGCGCCGAGAACTGACTGGCCGAGCGACAGGGACGAGTCGTTGCCTGGCCCGATGAAACGAGAGGGAGTGAAAGTGCATGCGCTCAGCTGCGGGACTCTGTCTACTACGTAGTTATCTAGTCCCTTTTCGAGAAGATGAAGCCGAGAATGGTAGCATTGTCAATGTTTTCCTTATTATTTATAGGTTATTCAACGTGCTAGTGACATCTCTGGAGGCATAGGAGTCATATCTGTAGGACAATAAAATGAATACATTTATCCTGGTATACTGCCGCTCCTGCAACCATGCGAAGTCCTTGTATACTCTTCACGGCGCTATCACCCGTCTATGCTATTACCTTGCCTAGTTGCCGACCGAGGGGGGCTTGTTCATAGGTTAGGCCTGGCCTGGACGTTAACCTAGCCAATGCTCTTGAAACTCATTTCCTGTTAGATTTATGCCGAGGCATGACCCGTTTTGCTGTAGTAGGCTTAGGCTAGGTTGTAAGCTTTTCCGTGTTTGAGCGACTGTCGTTGAATGAGATCAGTTGCCTTAGATCGATTCTCTCCTTGAGCCACATGGTGGCCGACCACTTTCTTGGAATCGGCTGCTAGCCTTCATGGTCAAGTGAGACTCAGGCCTAAGTTCGACGTGAACCGAAGTAGGTCCTAAGCTTTTAAGGGGTTGGGGGTTAAGGGGTAAGCCAATGACAAAGTCATTCGATCTTGAAATTACAGACTGAAGAAAGGAGTTATTGACCATCTGAAACTTTAATAGCCCAAGAATCGTTGTATTGCATTGCCAAAGAAGGTATAAAGTCAGTTTCAAAGTCTGTTTCTCTTTTCCAAAAATCTACTTGCCAGCCTCTGCTATTAGTTATCCATGAGTTGACTTTTGCATGGCTGAATTAAATGGACTCTGTTATTTCCTGCCTCATGAGAAAAGGGGCCAATTAATTTATGGAAGGCCATGTATATATGTATATACTGGAAAATGTGATCAGGCTTGAAAAGAGCAGGAGGCCGTTTATGCCCAGTGTTTTTTTGGCATGCTAAGATGCTCCAGTTTTGGGCAAAACATCTGAGGACTGGAAGGCATCATGTGGACCCTATCCTCATTCAGAGTTGCACTCAAAACTTTGCATGCCTCAATCTAAAGTCAAGGTTTTTCTTTAACTTATATCAAAATCTAACTGTATGAAAGCAAACAGATCAACTGAAGTACATATCCATATTTTATTTTGATATACTTTTGTTTCATCTACCAAAACCTTGTCAAAGTTAATTCTCCATTTTTGAATCTGGACAGAACTACAAATTATGAAATGGATAGGCATTTTGCATCATGATCCAAGGCTGATTTGGTTTGTTGGAGTGCTATGTTGTGTTTGCATGTAACATTCCTGTTGTGTTGGAGTGGAGGTGGGAAACAAGTAACCTCCCTGCCTAGCTCACCTGGCTCCTTTGTCTGTGATCCCTCTCTTTTCCCCTGTCCCCTTTAAGTCTTTTCCTCCTCCCCTCTTTCCGTTCCCTCTCTATTTCCACTTTTTCCCTTATGTCTTTTCTCACTTTTCTTGCTCTTTCATCTCCTTCTTACAGTAATCCCTTTAATGGTTGCATTTTAAAGATTTTAAAGTTGACTGTGAATCTCCTGTTTTGGGATTTTCTCTGTCATTTTTAAATATTTGTTCCTGCAATAGAAAACTATTTTAAAGTAAACATTAATTAAATTATTAAGTTTTCATTAAACCGTAAAAGTTTGATTCTGATATTAACTAAGAACATTTTTCTATAATAAACGATGTGGAAGAGATCAAGGCATAGTTGCATTCATATAGGATCAGGAAAACCTTGTTAAATTGAAATCCAGGGGACCAAAAAATTCTGACTGAAGTAAGTGGGGTTGAATTATCCAGTTTGGCCATTGTTATTTGTAATACTATATTATTCCACCCACACACCCCTCAACTGTAATAAAATATCTCATGCATAATAAAGGAAAGACCTGACTTAAAATTTTTGTATTTGTACTGCTGCAATTACATATAAACAATTGCCAACAATAATAAACAGATGTTAATGAATGATGTCACATTATAAGGGAAAAAAATTGAATTGAGATTTGATACAGGTCATTTGTAGATCATAGGGAAAAGTGCCCTTCTAAGTAAACGAACATGTTTCTGCTTTTATAGCTCCTGGAACCAGAAAATGCCTTTGAATTTCATAGTATCCATATTTTGAATTATCCATACTATAAAGCATACAGATCACTATCCTCTTGGATGTGGAACGTAGATGACTTTGAAGCATCCAATACTTTGAACTATATGATATCGAATTAATGAGGTTACCTGTATCCTTGGGAATGACAACTAAGGGGTCAATCCCTTTGGGGTAGCTCTTCATCTTCCCTGGAAGGACCCATTCACTTGTCCTTACTGTGTGCCCTTTTCTCTCCATCTCCCTTGCTCAGTTGTTCTGCTGTTTGTGTGTGTATAGACTCTGCCTAATGAAGGCTCACTGCAATATCCCTTTTGTCATTAACATGTTGATCACCTTGTAACACCCCAGTGTGTCACTGCATGTTTTGTACCATGCCAAGGGTGAAATAAAATGTTGCAATGTGACATGCCAATAGGAATCAGCAAAACTACTTTGGCTGTCAACATTTTAATCACAAAAAAAATTCCAAAAGAGGTGAGAGACTCAGAAGTCCCTCTAAGCTTCAAGGCTTTGCATTCCTACATAGCCATGCGAAATATACCCAAAAAAAGTGAGACTCTGAGTCCTGCCAGAACTGAAAGGGTTCAGGAAGTATATTCCAAACCTCTGCCATGTGCTCACTTTTCAGCACTTCTGTTGTATTTCAGGCAAAGCTTAGAGTAACCCCTCAAGTTGGGATGTATAGAAAAATTTGGCATGGTTCTATGTAAAAAAAAAAAAAAAAAAAAGCCCACCAAAGACAAATTAAAAGGGAAAAAAACATTGCGAGAGGAAAAGAAAAAAAAAAAAAAAAAAAAAGGCCCACCAAAGACAAATTATCTCTGCCATATCATTAATTTATTCACAAGTAATCTAGGGAAAAAAAATCCCAATGTTTGGTATAGTGGAATTGATGGGAAGAATTTAAGTGTTGCTTTTGAGTGCTTGCTTAAACCTCAAGAATGCCTGTGTAGCAATCTACAATGGAATGGAGATTGAAGTCATATACTATATGAAGTCCACATGGAAGTTCTTGGACTAGGATGAATTTTCATTTCATCCTTTATGTGAATTTTTCTGTTGAAAATGTTAAATTAAAAAAAATTCATAATTAAATATATTTTGGCAGGTACTTGCTCAAGGCAAAACACTACAGAGCCATTTTACTTGCAGGAAGGATTTTATTACCCTCCTGAAAAATTTAAACATTATAGGTCTGACAAAGTGAGAACATACAAAAATTTATTTTATTTTATATCTGAGTTTAAAATTTAAAATGCTAAGATGTATCATCACTTTGAGGTGATTTATTATTTAATGTATAAATTAGGTATCAAGGCCCAGCACCTTTCTTGCAGAAAGTGCAAAATATTGACAACCTGCAACTGTCTTTCCATATGATATAATATTGAGAGAGAGACAATTGTGACTGATCCCAACTCATATCTTGTGGCATTCTAATTTCATTCTAGTCTTAAACTACTTTTCCTTTCCTTGGTGCCTGCATTCTGGTGGGCGTATTGTCAAATACCTGAACACATTTTGTTCTGCACCTGAACGGTCTGCTGAGCCTGGAGGGGATGTGAAGAATCAAATGGCGACTCAAGTCTCCTGGTTGTAATTGGAGACCTCAGGGGAAGAATGTGTCAATGAAACTTTTGTGATATTAAGAAAATTAGACTCCAAGTTTTCAAACTAGACTAAGAAAACTAAGAAAAATTCACTCCATAGGGATTGAGTTTTAGTGATTCATTTCTTGAATCCATTTTGGAGTCAACTAGAGATTCAGAAAATTTTTCTCCAGGAAGCTGGCTGGGAGAAGAGGTTTTTTTTTAATTATGCCTTTTAATAAATAAAGAAAATGTATCATCCTCAAGTGTGTTTTTCTTGCTCGCTCCTTGTCTTGGACATTTTTAAAGTTTGACCTTTGAAAGCTGAAGTGTAACTCTAGAAATTGCCGGACAGGTACATAAGCATGAGCAGACATAGACCTGTTGCGCTCAGAAGGTATGAAAAATGAGTCACTTAAACCCAGGCTCAGAGGGGCTTCTGATACACCTTTCTGCATGAAGAAATAAATTTATTTACAATTTCCTTCCGTGATGTGATTCACTGATGTGAGATCTGGTCTGCTAGCATCCAATTCTGAATTATGTACCCTGTGCAATAGTCATAATATTCATGCCTATTTATGGAGCTGTGCAAGGTGACTAATTCCAGCAGTCATGTGAGAGTTTTGAAATGAGCTAAGGTCTTCTGATCGCATTAAGGAACTAAATCTATTCTGATCATTGTGGTTTTAGATCCAGACCATTAGCAGAGTTACACAGGGTGGGGTATAAGTCAGAAGTTTTTTGGGGAATTGAATTCTCTTTTCTGTCTAACCTTTCATTAATACCCACAGCTCTCAACATCTCTCATTGATTGTGGTAGCATGGTAGCTGCATGGGTACTAGTGCCAGAAGTGCAGTTGGATCGGCTTCTCCTATTGTGCCCAATTCTTTTTTTGCATCAAGGACACTGCAGGTTGCCCGGAATTTTGCCATTAAATCTAAAACGTAGTGAATCAACAGTCTTGGCCCATTTGGGTGTTTTTCATGGCAACCATACAAGTTTGCTGAAGACTGTTACCTGTTTTTGCATTAATCATCAACTCCACTCATTTTTTTGTTAAATACACAATTGTTCACTACACTCAATCAAAAATCTTTTTCAAATGTCATCCATCAAATTATGACTAAACTGTGCACACTCAAGCACATGAATGGTAATGGAAATGACACATCACCAAAATTGTCATTCTTGTTCCAGGTGAGTGTCAGTTGTTTGTTTTCAGTGGTCACAATGGGAACACTCTCAACTGGACTCCAACCACTGTATGCCTAATTGATGAGAAAGGGATACAGAAATGTGCTGCCATCAAGCAGTTTCTGTGAAAATGAAGTTCCCAAGAAATTCATATGTTCATGGACTTTTGCCCCACCCTGTATACATAACTTGTGAATTGTAGTGATGGCTTAAATGAAATGAGGACTTCCGATAATGAAAAGTTCAAGACATCCTGTATATATTTAGAGTCAGCTTCAATTGGAAAAATAGACTTGCAGTTGATCCATGGCACATAAGTGAACAAATTAATTCAAGAATCACAGTTGATGGATTGAAGAAGAGAGAGGGTTGGGAAGTGTCAAGCAAGTCGAGAAATGATCCAATCCATGTAGCTGGCCACTCGGACGTAGACACCTGGTCGATTCGGCTGTGCGCATCCATGTCCCCAGCTGATCAACCCATATAATACATGTCTCCCTATATGAAATGAAATGAAATAAAAAATTAAAAATCAACAAAGGGATGAGATCTAGCGTGGATGTTCTTCAGAGGGATTCCAGAAAATTCATTTTCAATTATCACACTGTTCATGAGAGCAAAAAGTATATACGTATGCTATTACCAGGATGAGAACAATCCAGTATTTCCACAAAAACCCCATTAAGAACAAGTTCAGAGGGATGTGTACCTTCAACATGAATTATAAATAAATCTCTGGATCTCCTAAGATGTGCTGACTCGAGTAGGCTAGATTTTCCCTGGGGCATTTTTATGACCCAACAGGTCTTTTAACATCGATAATGATCACTCAAACCTTTGAATTTGACAGGTTTTCAATGCCTTTATGTTAAAAGGCACTACCATAGTAGCACATAACATTGATTCAACATTGGTTCAATGTCCAGATGTTGAATCAATGTTGTTTCAATGTCATGTGCTACATGGGTAGTGTCTCATGCTGCATTTTGTGGCACTAAGCATGCATGTCCCTATGAAGTACTGGGGACTCATATCAAAGTTAACATGAAATAACACTCAACTTCTTTCAAATATACTGTCTTCTCTGGTCAATTCTAAACTTGACAACTTTTTCCTCTTCCTGTCCCTTTACTCAGACTGGAAGGATCATAACTTGTCAATAGAGAAGCAAAAAGTTACTAACATACATTCATTGTGGCAGTAATCCTTAAAGTACTAGAAGCTACATCAGAAGAAATTCTAAATGAAGAATATGTGAGCAACCTAACATATGAACTGCTCCTTTCATGTGAAAAAGTAATTTTTAAAAATAAAAACCTGTTAAGCCTCAGTTGAATACCTAGAATGATTGAAGGCAAACTATAATGAAATGCTCCAGAATTCTACAAAGTGAAATTTATATCAATAAAGCAAAAACTGGAAATTCTTGATTTCATTTACCAACTGTACAGGAAGTCTGACTTCCTTTAGCAATTAAAATACACAGTATAAATGGACCGTAAAAAGCAATTTCTAAGCACTTATAATTAGCCACCTCATGAAGTCTGACTTCTTATTATCAATTCATGTGTACCCACATACACATAACATTTAGGTAAAGATCAAGGCAATGAGGAACACTACTGACCATTGTCATAGCAGACAAAGGGTCCCCCGGAGTCTCCTTGACACGAGTCAATGCCACCCTCAAGGAAGCCCGCACAAAACATTCCTGGTGTGATTCTATCACCATACACCAATGGTGACCGACACTGCTCGATCGGAAGGATGGGAATCGTTGCCTCTTGTAGTGTGTATGCATAACCTGACGGTGACAAAAATTTGTCATAAATACAATAATGAGACTAAGAAACAATAGAGAGAGAAGTATAGTTTTCCACTTTCTTCAAGACAGGCAACATACTGAGTAACAAAGTGCTACCTGTACAAGTTTGTGACATTGCTACCAAAGAGTAACATTTCTACTGAAAAATTAGCTCCTTTTTTTTTTCAAACCTACCCTTTTCAAGCCAATACTGTGTCATTATCAAGTTAGTCTTGTATAGTTACACTAACTGGACTGGTCAACATTTTCACTCATGATTTGTACTCCAGTGTCATTCCTGAGGAAAGGAGAAAAAAAGGTATATGAAGTTGATGCTCACTGATGCCAGTACTGCCCCAGCCTGAGATGGTGCAATTCATGCCAGGTGCATAATCAACTTCAGGGGAGGGGAGGCAGATGGGGTGGACCTTGGTACCAAAACGAATCCCCTCCCCTTTCAACAAAAGGATGGCTACATCATTGTTATAGCGAATCCCCTCGTGCTTCCGCTCGTGGTATCGCACCTCCTCGATCCCAAACTCCTTCTCCTCAGATTCCACCTCCTGAAATTATTCAACCCATAGAAAGCTTACACCATTTAATGTCATTCCTTAATCTGAAAATCAGGGGATTGGGAAAGTTCATCTGGATCAGTGAAAACCTAACTTAGCACTCAGTTTTACTTATTGTTTGCCATAAAAATAAACTCCACTCTCAGTAGTGCTATATGTCTCTGGCAAAGAATGGAGAAAGTCATCCCTCCTCCCTGATTATTTTTTTATTCACTCATTCCAGGGAAGGGGGGAGACAGAGGAGAAAGGTTATTTCCTAATAGGGGAAGTATACGAGGAGAAGATTTGAGACCAGAATCTTTCTTCTTTTAAATGCTCAGAAAAGCGAGAAAAACTGATCCTCCTTTTCTCTAATAGAGGCATTAATCCTCATATTTTGGGAAATTCACGTTAATGGGCATTAATAGCCCAAGGACCAGAGAATGAGTCCAGATTATGAAGAAAAACTGTTTAACAGCATTTGGATAAAAAGGAGAGCATTTACCTGGCCCCTATGGAAAAGCTGCAAGCATTCTTTCCTCTGCATGGTCATTCAATCAGCATTTTGATGTACAAGAGTTAAATTTATTAAATAGAACATATATCAGAGATCACAGAGCTGATCCAATTTCAAGGAGCAAAAAAAAGGCTTATGATGACTGCTTCTGTATATTCATAAAGGTATAAACTAACTGACAGACCCTTGACACGTGACACCATGCAGTGCTGTCTGAGTTGCAATACTGAGAGAATATTTCAAAAGGAGAATCTCTCTTCAATGCAAGTTTGTTGGAAATATTTGGGGAATTTTTATATCCCAGTCAGTGAAATGCCATCAGAAATTACGACATACCTGTGAATCGGTATCCCCCACTCGAACCACGTATGCTCCCTTGGGGTAGTCCTCTAGACAATGTGCTGCAGTGAGGACATGGTTTGGAGTCACAATCACTGCCCCACACCAATGGGCACTGGATGTCCCTGCCCTTACCCGGAGTGATGCCTACAAAGAAGTTATCATCTTTGTCTCCAATTCAAACAACACTTTTCCTGTTTCTTGAATAAAATATTCAAATTCATCATAATAAAGTGAGTCACATACTAAAACAAGATAAAATTTAAAGATTATTGTTGCTTTGGAAACATTAAATTCAATAAACTCATAATGACTGAAATGCAATCCAGCTATCCCAGAGAAAGATGTGAGAGATGAAGAGGAAGATTCCCATTGGGTCATTATACACTTACTTCATTACCTTCTCATTTAAGGCCACCACAGCAAAAAATTATCATGATGCATCATGAGCCTAAATTGCAGTCCATATCTGTACATCCTCCATGAGACTGTGACCAATTCCCAAAATGATGCTTGCCATTACATGTGCCTCAGCTTTACTTCTGAGATAGCTGAAACGAAGACTGCACCTGCCATGGGTGAGCACCAGGTGTGGCCTGACGTCCAGACATGATCCTTCCTCTTGTCTGGGACTGGAGTGGTGGCTTGTACTCCACACCTTTCCTTCCACAGATCTCAGGAAGCCCTGGATAAGTGCCAAGTACTTCATTGCTTGCAACCCCTTCTGTTGCCTGAAGATGATAAAGGGTTTGCCATTAATGAATCTATTAACTATTGGATCATGAACAAGTTTTATGAAGATCATCACATTGTCACCATTTTATCCCTATGCATAATGTTATGCAGTTGCAAGGAAAAAATGTTTGCTTTTTGCATGGACAGATTCAATTTCTAAAAACCTTTCATGGACATGCACTGAAAAATCAGTTTTGTCCTAGGTGGCCAGCCAGAGTAAGCACTGGAAATTTCAAGCATCTTGTATCCAAGTTTCTTGGAAATTGATTCCAAAACATCTCCCAGAATAATTCAACAGATTAATGTACACAAATTCCACATAAACACAAGCTGTCACTCAGCCTTAAAGAAGTCTCACTCTGGGCGAGAGTGCACTAGGTCAGAAAAACACACCCATGAAAGGGCTTCCTTCTACAGACATCATCTACTTGCAGTGCTTATCTTGGCGATTTTGCATTAAGAGGGGTAATCAAATCAGTTGGGAAGATTTTGTCACCATTGATTGATATGCTTCATTTCCTCACTTGATATCTTTCTCCTATCTGTTTCATTTTAATATTTTCATGATTTCTTTACACATAGTCATTTCCAATGCAAGAAATGGTTGACTTTTGGAATCAATAAATATATGAGAAATGCTGGGCATTATAGATAGAACGAGGAGAAACTACGACTTACACATGCAAGAATCTGTTCAAGACCTATACTAGCATAAAATAACTTTTCCCTGATATATGTTTCAATTCCCTTCCCATCCAAGCATAAAAGTAAACTCATAATAAATATACTTCACTGAATAAACAGCAATAGATATAATTAGGGATGGGTTATTGACCAGTCAATTAAAAATATGTCAATTGACCAGTCAATATGGTCAATTTTGGTAAATAGGACCAACTTTTATTTATTTATTTTTTTCTTCGTAGTTTTTGCACCATTATATATGTCATGACTCACAAGTGATAGACTAGGGATGGAAAGCTGACTGGTCAACATGGTCATTTTAGACCATTTGCAGAAAATAATGGTTAAAATGGGAAAATAATGAAAATAATGGCCCAACAAGAGGTTAGGCCTTATGACTATATGATCATACAGTAAATGACCATGTTGACCAGTCAACATCTCATTGCTAAGATAAATTTAATGTTCCAACTCATGCAATCTATAGGGTAAACAGTAATGAATCAAGTTTTCATAACTAGATTAATTTTTTTTAGGCAGACCCAAGTACTTGTCCCATGATCTCAGACTTTGAGAATAATTTGATGCTCTGATGCAGACTATTAGCCAGGACCATNTAGGCATAACCCAAGTACTTGCCCCATGATCACAGACTTTGAGAATAATTTTATGCTCTGATGCAGACTATTAGCCAGGACCATGATTGACCTTGCACGAAACTAAAGTTCTAAAGCTGTTACTTAGATCTTGAATCTTAACTTTGAAAGTCCTTGAGGCTATAAAACTTTGAACAGCAAGCTATGCTTGCACACACACTCTGCATCACTCAGGTGAAAGGTCATGGTAGTTTGAACATTTGCTAAAATGTTTTCATACGCAACAGGTGCCACAGTTTAGGTGTTTGGCAGGCTGCATGAACAAATCTTAAAAATTGAACTGGCTCTTTGGTTTCAGTGCTGGGGGATAAATGACCACAGTTATGAGCTCTATAAAAAATATCTTAATTCACTGAATTAAAAAAATTAGTGGTCAATAATGGTCAATTAAAAAGTGGTCAATTGACCAGTCAATTGACCACCCCATCCCTAGATATAATGCATGTCACTCTCACAAAAGATGAAGCTCACCTCAAGGATTTCAATATTGACCGGGTCCTTCCCTTCAGGCAGACACTCAAGGGCTGCATCCTCATTATGCTGGCAATTGCTCTGACCCCAGGGAAGATGGAGGCAGTCCATGAGGCTCTCCTCTGTCCCATCACACTGGAGCTCGTCCAACCAAATTGGCCCTGCCCCTGCGCCAAACTCCCCTCCCTTCAAGGCTCGACCTTGCTTGGCCATGCCCAGCATCTTACATATTACCTATACCAGGGGTAAGGTAGGTTTGTAAATTGGTATTATCATCTCTCATCATAAAATAAAATTCATTCTGAGAAAAAATGAAATATATGAATACAGAATTATCCATGCATTGCATGCACATGTGCTCTACTACTTTAGCAGAGTTTCAGTCTAGATGTGCACTTATGGGCTTCCTCCTTCATCGGGCCAATAATTTTAAATTAAACTTTGTAAGAACTTTTGTTTTCCTGAACAAGCCCCCATTGTTTAAAAATGGAGGATTCTCTTACAATAAGAAATAAGATCTTAAGCAAACGCTTGGATGTCTGCAGGCATGTGGGCAAACAAATTGGTTTTGTCAATTGTCAATGAGTACATTCAGGAATAACATTGCTTAAAAGTTAACTAAATTTATTTAAACCAAAACTTGAAAACTTAGCAAACTTTACACATCATTTGTTTGGGAAATCAGCCAGCAAATTTATGACAAAAAAGGACATTCTGCCAACCTTGAGATTTTGCAATGTATCAGTCCAAGTCTCACTAGAACAATGACTTGAATAGTACACAAAGGGCAAGTAGCCACAACACACTTATGATGCTTGCTCTGCAGATGTTAGCATGAATGCTGAAACCTCCTTTAGTGGTCCTTTAACCCATTGAGCGGTATGGCTGTACTGGTACTGCCATGCGTTCCTGGTCCTGCAGGAGTTTGGCCGTACCAGTATGTCCTGCATCTTGGAATTCAAATTGCCACATTTGTACAGATGCCATCACTTTGAGGTAAAGCTGTTCATGTTCATAAAAGTAAAAAATTCTGAGCTGGAGCCCATCTGCTAAAAAACTCACCCTTGGGGGCACGGCCAGTCAGAAAAAAGGCACCACTCAAAGGGTTAAGAATCCATGGACTCCAATGATGGAAAAAAAGCTCCATAGCTTAAAGGCCCTTTTACTTCACCTAAATGAGGTTTCTGTAATTGGGCTTCAGTCTCTTTTGGCTTATTTCAGGACTTACCGTGGCATCATTATCATCAAATCCATCATCACAGATACTTCCCCAGATCCCCCGGTAGCGTACTTCCACTCTTCCTGACATTTCTTCCTTGCTTTCATTGATTCGACTTTCTGGGATGTCGTTCCTCGACAGACGCACCATGAGGGGCAGCTACATTCAATACAAAACAATCATCATCCACCAGAGAGTGATTAATCTCAATAGAAAGAATGAAAATGGAATGGAAGCAGTCAGGGTTGACTGATTTTAATCAAGATGTACTTTTTTTAAATTATGCAATTGAAATCAATTTACACATGTTTAAGGTCTTGGATGCCATTTTAAATTATGCTAATTGAGGTGGTGTTGAGCTCCAAATATCATGTTTATTCATGTTTTAAGATTCAAGCACAGCTGCATCACAGTGGCTCAGCTGTTAAGAATCTTGGGTAATAGGCAAGAAGGTTCAAATTCAGTCAGTGGCAGGTGGTGCTCTGGACAATGAGTTTACCAGGCTGCCTTGGGAACTACCTGTTCTTCTTGAAGAAAAACCTCATCAGCCTTCATTCGAGATTCCGAGAAATATGCAGCAGAAAAATTTTTAAAATATGATTTAATTGATTAAAAATATGGTTTTTGCCTTTTCTGGAAGCAACAAGACTCAGCAAGTGCAATTTATGTACTTGAAATGTCTGGCTGTCTCCTGAAGTCAATAGGGACTGTCAAGAGAGTATAGCAGTCCTGCACATACTACAGCAACATTCCTTCACCCAGTTTTTCATAGTAAGAAATAAAATATGGGATTAGGTCTTACATAAATTTAATAATTGACCACATTGGGAGAAGTGTTCATTGGCACAATTTACCAGTTGATAGCAAGCCTACCCCACATCACAAGATGAAAGTGAAAGTTCAACAGACCTGACATGTGTCTTTCTCATCAGATTGATCAGTGCAGTCAGCAACCTCGTCACAGAGGAAGTCGATTGGTACACATTCCCCACTCTGGCACTCAAATTCATGATCCCTGCACTCCTCCAATGCCACACGACACTCCACTCCTGCTACCTACAGAAAAATTTTGCAGGGTTCCTGTTTGTGTCTCTCACGACTAATTAACAAAAATCCAGATTTAAGCAAGTAAAAAACACGCAAGGACTTCATCGACCGGTAAAGAAGGCTCATTAACAAGATTGAAAGTAAAGTTGAGAAGAAAGGATTAAGTCAAAGATGCAAAGTGTTACTGTCAACATTGATGAGATGAAGGCCAACTCCTTGGTTCCTTACATTCCATCCTCAACCTAAGTAATCAATCTATGTGAAATCAGCAACTATGTACCAAGATAGTGATACCTGGAGGGTTAAAGATGAAACCAGTTCAACACAGGAGTGTTTTGTTTACAATTGTGTGACACATTTGTCTATCTGTCTGTTATAAAAATACCAACGAAGAGTGCTGAAACTCATTGGTTATCATTTCTTTGCTACAGATTGTCTCATGCTTCTTCCTGTGGTTGTGAAAAGTGAAATCTGCATAAATAACTTAACAGAGCAAAGAGTGTTTAGCTACAGAGGATACTAAGAAAACATGGGTAATATTAAACAGGATAAAAGAAACCTTACAAACTGCAAGTCTCATTAAAAGTTTGAACAGAAGGATACTTGAACCTTCCTCCAAATGCAAACATTTCTCCCCTTCCAGTGAGACTTCCAACCCCTCCCTTCCTCTCTGTCATTATAACAAGACCAATTAAAGAATTCCATACACCCTGCACTCTTTTCCAGACCAGTACCTTCTGAATGGGATGAAGGACTCCTTCACCTCTTCTTCACTGCACACTATGTGCAGTGAAGAAAAGGTGAGGCAAACTAGTCTCACGCCAGAAACTGTGCAGCATGTTGACATTTGTGGTATGGAACCGGACCACTAGCAAAAATAAAGGTAAGGAACAAAAATTTATTCCCCTTTATACCTTCACTATACCTAAAGGAGATACAGAACTGAAAACTTCAGAAAAATGTGAGGCCTCAAAAGTTACAACCACATGCATTCATATGGCAATTCACCTCATGTTTCAGTTTCAATGGTTTTACTTGACATCTTTTTGTGTGTTTTGCATAAGCCCTGAGTCCACCTCTGTGCAGTGGACCCTACAGTACAGAGAACAGTAAATGGAGATGAAACTGATAAAGAAGAGCTGTTACTTCTTCAGCATGGCAGTCATGCTGTCCCCAGCCAGGAAACTGGCACTCGGCGATGGAAGATTCATTCCCTGTGCAGGTCAGGTCATCCAAGAGAAACTTTCCACTTCCAGAGCCAAATGCTGAACCAGAAAATGTCTTCAAGGCTCCCAAAGAATAGCCCAGCTGACGACAGATGACTTCTGCATCCGACAGCCCAAACTTGTCATCACAGATCACACCCCATTCTCCATAAGCTTCCAAACAGAAAACAAGTCTCATAAGCAAAAGAAAATCCAAGCAAGAAGGAATATATAAGGATGTTTCAAACTTATACAACTGAACAAATATGACACTCAATCCACAAGAAAGCCCCCAAAATTACTTTTCTTGACATTGCAAAATAAGATTAAATGCACAAAGTAGTTTAATGTTATGCCAATTAATTAAATGATACAGCATGACAAAACTGAACATGACAAAAAGAAACACCAAACTCAAAATAGTGGTGCTTAATATTTTAAAAATCTGCATTCCAAGAACTGCAATGGTTACAATTGTATTTAAAAGGCTCATGAACCTTCCCATTATGATGAGACATCCTTGATCAAGATTAGCTACATTTGACAGAGATTATTTGTTTTTAAATCTTTCACTGGCAGATGAAAACTTGAAGTCTCCAACCTCCTCCTAGAGGTGTCATTGGAGGACACATAGGCATATTCTGGGCACTAGGAGATGCCAATGCCAGTGAAAGGGTTAAAAAGCATGCATGAGAAGCTCATGTTATGCTTGAATGAAAACAGAAAGAGCGATGTTAAAAGTATGCAGTTTGATGCTCTCCCTTTGGCAGCATTGGCATCTTTAAATTCTTGGAAAAAAGATGAGACAGAAAACAGACAATGCAGTGAAGGAGCCAAATTGGTTCTTACAATTTCAAAGGAAGTTTCATTAAGAAATTTTGCCCTCACAATATGTTTCATGGTAAATACCATTTTAAGCCAAAGATAAATGTATGTTATCCCACATAATAAGCCTCCTGGTATAAAACTTTTCAGGAATAACAGAAGGGTCAGGTGAGAATGATTCTGCTGCATCATATATTAGTACATATGCTAATTTATGACAACATTCTTTCAGACAGACCAGCATTACATATATGTGACATTGCTCATTTTGATTCTCCTCCTTATCAGCCTTTATGGAAAATTAAAGAATTACAGTCCAGTAGTCTGAATGAGAAGCAGAATTAAGTGTCTATTTATGGTGCAAAAAGCCATAAAATAAATATCCCAGACTCCATATCTCATCCCTTGCCCCCAAAAATGTTGTTAATTTACTCAAATATGAGAAATGAAAGTGGCGACTGCTTTTTTGCTTTTCATGCCTGAAGCTTCCAAAATTCAAACTTTGCAGTTACTTCTGGCAGCAGTGAGATGGCCCATTTTAATCCAAAAACAACCTACAAAATAAGGAGAAGTTAAAGTTTCTAATGAGTGCATTGATTCACAGACTTCCTGCAAAAAAATATTATTGGAGGCAATACATTTTCTGTATTATGCTAAATACAAAATAATAGCTGACCTTTGACCTCAACCCTCCCCTGGTGTGGCTTCATGCCCCCTTGGAGCTTCAGTTCAATGACTGGAACCTTACATACCTTTTCATCTGACTCATCACCACATTCTTGTCTTCCGTTACAGACCTGAAAGTAGACCATAACTCATCCACATTACACTGCAGTTTATGAAGGTAAAGGGTGATGCAAACATATGAAGATATAATAAATTCACCCTATTACTAAAAATAACACCTCCTGAAGAGGAAGCTGTCACAGGCAAATCAGAGCACTCTACAGCTTATTGCAATCAGCAAATTGTTAAAAATTTGAGGAAACTTGATCCTAACTTCAAATCTTAGCTTTTGACAGTTATTTAACCCTGAAGAATTCCCACTAACTGCCTGAAAAATCTTTATTTCGATAGTAATCAGATGAAACTCAATGATGAATGCAAAGAAGACATAATGGATGTGCCTGAACAACAAAGGCAGTTCTTCTTAGTGACACACAGAGATCATATTAAATCCTGAATAAGCGATGTTGAGAACTATACTGACTTACACTAGAGTGATTGAGACATTTGCCATTGTCACAGATGAACATGTCAGAGCAGTTACTGCGGAGGGACTTGCGCTCATAGTAGGAGTAACGCTTGTCACTTTCCAGGGCCCCTGATGTCTCCACGTTCTCATCGCTCAGGATACATGTCTCCAACACCTCACTATTGACACAAACTCTTAGGCTAACTATGGCCCAATTTGTCTGTCTAGCAGCATAATGCTCCCCATTTAAATGTTAGCAGATGAGAAATTTTACAGGAGCAAAAAGGAAAAAATTACAGGACTCCAAAATTCATCCATCAAGCATGTCAAATGTTATAGGACATCTAAATACTGTATTGCAATCAAACTCCTGGAGGGCATCTGTCTCACCCATAAAATAATCGCAATAAAAGTAATGGCTAACCCACAAAGTTTCTGAAGAAATTTCATTTCTTCATCTTCCTCGTATTCTACCTGCAGATGTTTTGCAGGTACAGTGGAAGGAAAATGAATTTGCAATCTAAGGGGATAACTGCAATTTGGAAACTCTGAAATAGGATTATCTCATGAAAGGAATAAAATTTAAAACATTTGGATGAAACAGAGTCAGAGAATTGTGTACCTGTAGCTGAAGGAGTGGCATACAAAGTTTTTAGCTTCAACACAGCGGCGAGCACAAGTGTCAACATTGATGTAGCGCCACTTGGTGACCTCAGTCAAAGCCAACCTGTGCTTTGGCTTTATATCAAAGTCTTTCAGGTAGCTCACACAGTATTCCTCATCCAGGTTGTTTGTGCAGTCCTGGTAATAAAAAATGGCAGATCATCATATGTCAGGTGCTGCCACCAGTAACACCAAGAGCTAGGTATTTCTGCAATCATTCTACCTAGTCAGCAAAGACTATGTTCTTAAATATTTGGGGAATAGGCAAATTACCAAACCAATGAGAAAAGTCAACGTATTAGTCTTATTTTCCAAAACTACAATTAGAAACATATAGCTTCATAGCATGTACAACTCTGATATGATTTAAAGAAAATGAAATTTCCTCATCCATTTCTTCTTGAGGAGCACAATTTGTAGGCAAGGGAAGAATATGACAAACAACATTAACATGCTCACAGCAGTAATGCCATGAGAGAAACTTTCAAAGGTTCCAGTAAGTAGGTAATTAGTCTAATTTCTTCAACCCTGTGGGTGTGGTTTTGATCTGACAGAAACTCGTTAGAGAGATCTAACAGAAACTCGCCCATCAATCCCCACATCCCCATCAATGATTTTAAGGTGTTGATGCTAATCTGATGAATTTTCTGCATTGTATCACTGCAAATAAGCTGGAATGCTATTTACTGCAAAGTCTGGAAGTCAAACAGAAACTGGAAGAACGTGGATCTCACCTGTTCCCCATCACAGACATAAGCTGAGAGGATGCATTCTTCAGCAAGGCACTGGAATTGATTCTGCTGGCAGGAGCGCTGCATCCGATGCAACAGTTTCTCTATAGAACAATATCATTCCATCAATCCAGACACTTCTTTCAAGTGAACTCAAGAAGAGACAGTGCTTACCAGGCTCATCATCCAGGCTCTGTGGACACTGAGGGATATCACAATATTCAAATTTCCCATCAGGAGTGAAGCACCAAGGTGCCTCATCGCCATCTGGATTACGACAAAACCTTCAAAGAGACAAAACAAAGCTGAACTGTACATCCAGGCAAAAATTCCCTAATTTCCCAAAAGAGTAATTGGACAGGATTAGAAGAAAATAAAAAATTGGAAATGCTCTCATCATGCTAATCTATTGAGAATGAAATATTGCAACCTTGTCATCTGTCAGACAACTGCCAAAGATGACATTCTGCTTGCCTCCCTCGAACTTGCATTTTGCCCAATTGAAGGAGAGAATCCAAGGTCAGTCAAAACTCTAATTGAATGAATCAATTATGCAGACAACAATGAACCAGACTGAAGTGCAAAATCCATATGCAGCTCCAGTTCCATTTAAGCAACTCCATTTGAAAAAAAAAGATTGACTTGATTCTATCACATAATTTTGAACCAAGTGCTCGCATGCCAAATGAAATTTTGCAATTTAGCATCATGGCTACTTGTCACAGAGAAGTCCCAGACAGCCTGCATGCCCATATCCTCTTGCATCCTGAGTCTAATTTCTAAACATTTAAATTTGTATGCATTGTTCAAAATGTTTAATTGGAGCAGAAAATAAATATAGACATACAAAGAAATGCAGGTAAACTACTAACAATGAACTCTAAGAAACCATTCAAAATGCTGCAGCCAATCATTTCAAATATTAAGCACAAGAAAATGTTCAAGATTCGAGAGAATGTGCAGGATTCCCTATTAAGCTTGAAAACCTGTGGCCTAATACACTTCCTGTTCAATGTGAGGTCATATGTTACATGTACATGAACATGTAATCAATTCCAAAGTAGACTAACTTAATCAATTAAACTCAATGTTGATGTCATATCAGAACATCATATTTACTGATGTCATATCAGTATATTCATATATCAATGCAAGGTATCAACAAATGATCTGACAGACTTAGTGCCAGCATAAAGAGCTCAAGGGAATTTGGCAAAGATGAAAGCTGACCTGTGATTCCCAATGCCCAGATCAGAATAGGCATTTCGACCCAGGATGACCATGACATCAGGGCTGTTCCAGTTGAGGCAGGGGAATCCTGATTGAGACACACTTGCATTCCCACGGTAGCCCATCCCATTTCCCTTTATGCACCCTATTCAGAAAAAGGAATAGCTGTCACATCTAATAAACAGAAAAGCAATCAAATCCTCATCACATGTAAATACTGAAGTGTGTGAGTTTGCACATAAGGAAAGATTCATAGATTCAAAATATCCATGGCCATCTTGCAAAGCTGCCATCAACTTCCATCTAAGACACAATGGCATAGGGTAAAACCACCAAAGTTCAGGCACCTTGAAACAAATTGTTATAAAACTATGCATTCACAGGGTCACCCTCAGAAACAGCTCTTCCTAGCAGCAAAGAACTGTTTCTGAGGGAGAATTCATATTGGTTTTGTAACAATGTCCATTATAGTGTCGAACTAAGACAGAGTTACCCAAGACTCAATCATTGCTTTCTATGACATTAAATCCTTGTTATCATCCTGAGACTAAATAATATCTTTAAAATATTATAAGCTGACATTTCAAGTGAAAAGTTTAAGACAATTTCAATCAGAGCAATTAGATGAGTACAATATTAGCTTTCAATTAGGAAAGACAAAAAAATCATAGCTTCCACATCATGTATGAACCAGATATAAAGAAAGCAACAACAAAAAAACCCATAGAACTTCCAAACATTTCAAGAATGGGAGAAAGAAGTTCATGCAAGGATTGATCATGCTAGATCAAAAATGAAAAAGAGAACCCCACCAACATCCTGTTGTTCCATCTGGCATACAAAGGGGATCCTCTTTGAACAGGGCTCTAGACTCCAGAAGAAGTAATCTGCATTGAGCTCCACCTTGGAGACATCATCAAGGTAGAAGCTCTTGAGGGTGATGCACTCGAGACGGGAGCGCCGGATGCGCGGTGGGTCTACTTCCTTCCCATTCCAGCCTGATTAAAAATGTATGGATACTTTACAATGAAGGCTCTACAATGATACCACAGATTTCATTATTGACACAAGAAGTCCTTTCCAGAAAGTGCACAATTTAAATAAACTCTGCTATCCAGCAACACTTTCTTTTTCCTTGAATCTTTCTCCATGTTACTATACCTCACATACGGATTTTTACCTCATCTCCAGTATATATTCATCATTTTGTACCAGTAGTATAAACTGACATCAACAAAATACACTGAGGGATATCAAGAAACAAATTCAACTCCTTTGAGTTTCATGTTATCGCAGAGGTAGCAATACAGATAAAGAAGCAGCTCCATCTAGTGGAACATGAAGGAAAGAAAGGCCAAAGGAAACTAAAACTCAGGAATGAGGGAAATGGAACCATCAGCCTTCAGTTTGCCAGCCTGTCAACCTTGAGCAACAGGTGTACCAGAAGCTACTGGTTCTATCATGAGGCCCACATCTGCACTACCTTCACACACACTAAGCAACCACTTTCTTTGTTCCTAACAAGAAAATCACCACACTGAATAACAAAAGTCAAAATGTAGTAATTCAAGTGCAGGACAGCACTTGACGAAAGGAGTTAACATTTGGCAAAAAGAATTAATGCATATTGCATTTTGATGCAAATAAACAGCAGAACTGCCATAAAAAATGGACTGGACAAGTGATTGATAGGGTTTTGAAATGGAAAGTCAGCTTCATCTGAAAATGGACTCACCTGGCCACCACTTGTGAAAGTGGAGTTCATCAACATCATGCTCCCACAGATAAAAGACATTCCCTGAACCAGTGAGCCCCTGAGCTCCTCCTGTGTGTAATGCTGTCTTCACCCCTGTGAATCACCCCAAACAAGAATGTGATATCAGACTGGCAGCAGAATACACAAAAGAATTACTCATTCTTCAATCCTCACTGAATGGTCTCATTCTACAAGTGAAGGAATACATGAAAGAAAAATGAACACCAAAAATGGGAAACATCAGACTCACAGGAAGGAGAAAACATAAGCTTATTCCACTGAATCTTGCATGGGGCAGCGAAAAGGAATCAGAAGCTTTCAGAAATATTCATGTGTGTTGAGGGGATATGATTGGCATTAACCTCTTGATGGTCATTCAGCTCTAGTTATTATATCTTTTTTTTTTCTAATGTCAAAAAGTCCTTTAATTCATAATCAAATAGACACTTTTCTGCAAGGAATTATGCCAGTGAAATGCTTCCAATCACAACTATGTATTGTATCAAAGCCTAATTATGGTCTCAGAACTTCTGAATCATATATGCTTTCCCATGATGGTTTGTTCACCACATTCCGCTGACATTCCAGCACAATGTTAACTCTCTTGGAACAGGAAATCCATGCCTTAAGCTCATTTTAAACAAGACAATACTTTTCAGAGATAATTATCCAGGGATGCAACAGGTAATAGGTTTCACCAATATGCCAATCAAATGTAGTTGTTGATTCAAACAGACCACATGAGCAATATGTATTAATATGTGCAAATGGTATACTATCAATAGAAGATGCAAGTTTTCATTTCCCAAAGCATTTTATTATTTTCTAATATTTTAGTTTGTATATTTCCAGTTTCACAGATTGGACATGTTGAACTAATTCCCTAGACTCCAAGATCATCTAACCATACACTCCTATTTTTTTCTTTGGGGGATCAAACCAAGGCTGGTTCATTCATGAATGGTAGATGGGTGGAGCACTTACGGGGCCTTTGAGTTTGATACACAAAAGCTGACATCTATTGATAGAATGCCATCAGAAATAAATAATCACATTTCTAATATGAGCTATATGCAGTTAAAATTCCCAGGTGACTTAACAAACACCCTATACATTAAGCAAATGGCATAAAATTATTCAGAACCAAAGAAAACAGCATATAACTAAAGCAAGGAGCAAATAGTAATTAAGAGGTAGTCAAAATGCTGCAGACCACAAAAAACTGTGGCCTACACCATCAAATCTGATTAATCCTTTGCAGACAAATTTCTTCAATCCTCTGTTTAAATTGTTGGGGTGTACTCGATATAGGACTGCAAAGGTTATGAACTTTTCATGATGAAATACCTATCGGCCAGTGCCGCTGTGGCCATTTGGAGAATTCAAAGAACTATAGCAAGTATTTATTCAATTTGACCTATTAGGAAGCCGTGTTAATTTTTTTTTTTTAGGACTGTCACGCTGGTAGTTTAGAAAACATCGATGTATCGACCTTATATATCAATCCATCGATGCACCCACGAGAGGGAGGGCGGGGAGGAGGGGTCCCGGCGGATTCAGTCTCTCCTTGCCGCGATCGGGCGGAGATTCCACCTTGTCTTATCTTCATCGGGGCACGGACCTCTAGCCGTATTCCATTATCTCTCGCCTGATCGGGGAGGGAGGGGGGAAGGGGGGGGGGGGGGGGGGGTTGCCTGCACAATGGGGT